CCCTTGGCATCTGTGCTCTTCCTCCTTTCTGCAATCCTGATCCAGACCTATAAGTTTCTTAAAATCGCAGCGTCATCGTAAGATTGATAGATTGTGTAGACTTGTTATCAGGTTCACAGAAACTCGAGGTGGTATACAAATGGTACTCTGGTCGTGCTAGACTTTTCTCAAAAATTGATGGACGATGAGCTGTTATCAGGATCACAGAACCGCGGAGAGCTATGTGAATGGTACTGTACTGTATCTATGATACTCGCGAAAAAACTGGATACTTGGCATCTAAGCTCCTGGCTGCTTTTGCAGTCCTGATACAAACCTATAAGTTTCTGAAAATCGTGACAGCTTAATCGTAAAATTGATAAATCGGAGATTTGTAATCAGGATAACTCAAATGCCATGATGTATGCAAATAGTACCCTGCTCCTGCTATGAAATAAGGCAGAAATTTAAATCCATGATATCGAAACTCTTGCCGTTTCCGCGATCCTGATACAGATCTACAGGTTTCTGGAAATTGCAGTGTTACTGCTACTATGTTATCGCGAATTTTTTATATTTGGCGTCTGTGCTCCTAGTCGTTTCTGCAATCGAGATGAAGATCTATATGTTTCAGTATATCGCACTGTCGACGACAGATCCTTCGTAAAATTAGTAGACTGAGAAATTGTTACCAAGTTCACAGAAACGCAAGGAGGTATACAAATGGTGCTCTGCTTCTGCTATGGATCCGAATTTTGTTCTTATCTCATAACAGGACTAGAGTACCATTTGTATACCTCCTCGCGTTTCTGCGAAGCTGATAACAAGTCTCCAATCTATCAACTTCACAATGAAGCTGTGACGATTTTGAGAAACTAATAGGTCTGCATCAGGTTCGCAGAAACTCCGAGGAGCATTGATGCCAAGGATACAAGTTTTACGCGAGTACCATAGATACAGCACAGTGCTATTTACATACGTCCTCGTGGTACTGTGATCTGGATAGCAACTCATCGTCCATCAATTTTACGAGAAAGGTCTGGTCGAGAGTGCAGTTTCCAGAAACCTGTAGATCTGAAACAGAATCGCAGAAACGGCAAGAGGTATCCATGCCATGGATTTGAATTGATGCAGATCTATAAATTTCTTAAAGTCGCTCTGTCGTCCAGGCTTAGTAAAATTGGTATATTTGTTATCAGGTTCACAGAAATGCCAGAAATTATGCAAATAATACTCTGCTCCTGCTATGAAATAAGCACGAAATTCAAATACATGGCATCGATACCGCTTGCCGTTTCTACAATCCTGATACAGATCTATAGGTTTCTGGAAATTGCACTGTCGACCAGACCTTTCTTGCGAAATTGGTGGTGCTATCAGTACTCGCGTGAATTTGGATCTTTGGCATCTATGCACCTCGTCGTTTCTGCAATTCCGATACAGACCTATTAGTTTCCGAAAATCGCCATAGCTTCATCATAAAACTGATAGATTGGAGACTTATTAGCAGGTTCACATTAACCGAGAGTTGTTATGCAAATGGTGGTCTGGTCCTGCTATGAGATAAGAACGAAATTCGAATCAATGGTATCAATGCCTCTTACCGTTTTTGCGATGTATGAAACTCGACCAGACTTTTCTTGCAAAATTGATGGACGATGAATTGCTATCAATATCACAGAACCGCGATCATTAACGACCATTTGGAAAAAGGCCACTTTCCAAACAGATGGAAACAAGCTCTAATTATTCCATATCCTAAAAAGATCTCCAGCGACAATAATTCCCTCAGGCGTGCCTCAGGGCCACTTCTATTCCTCATATATACTTTCGACAAAAGCAAAAGTAGTGACAATTCTAATGTCAATAAATTGATTAAGGACTCTTGAGATCATAATCCACTTGTTAATCACAAAAATCTGATGTTATTATTTTGCGCCCAAAGGAAAGAAGACAATGTGACACATCTCTTGATCATTAAGATAAATAACCAAATCTTGCAACTTTCTGATTCTGCAAAAATTCTTGGTATTGCTTTTGATACAAAATTAAGGTTTATTAAGCATGTCTTTCACAGAAAACCTGTCTTAAGGCCGTCTCTCACGATACGAAATTTTATGCTAAATTTAGTACCAAATTTTGTGCTAAATTTAGTACCAAATTCTGTGAGCAAATTCGCTAATGAATTTAGTTCCCAGTTTGTTTACAAATTACAATCCTGTCTGACACGTAAATAAATTTTTGTACTAAATTTCGTACGAAATCATGCGCAGTTGGTAGAAGAAAACTATAACTGTCAACTTCTGCCATTTATCACGTCAATGTCATTCTAATTACACTTTCCTTTGCGGTTGCTACTTTATTCCTTCAATTGTAGAAAATGGAGCGATCCCGTAATTCGCATATATTATATGCGACTGCGGCAGCAGCGATCTGCGTTGTAGCTGCCCACCTCATGAGAAAACGAAGTAAACGAAACCGTTAAAAAAATTGGTGCTGAAAATGGATCAGGGAGAGGGATCAGGGCATGTGTGTGCTTCATATGCTGAATCAAGAACTTCTAGTGAAGGATCCACTGGCTTATAACATAACCCTAATTGGTTCTTCTGGTTTTTTCCAACACAGCTTATTTAGCTTTTCTGTTTTTATAAGCCTTGCTTTTTACAGCATGTAAACAATCATATTTCTCATAATCGTTTAGTAATATCTCGCACTGCTCTTTTAATCATAACATCTTTTAAGTTTTCAATCTATAAGTAGAACAGTATACCTACACAGGGGAGTTTCGCGAAGTTGATGAACACAACTGATAACATCAACTAATGAATTACACTCTAACAAAACCGAATCAAAATTTGTTTAGTTCACCTCAAAATTAATCCGTGTACCAAGTCAAAAAGCCTAGGTGTTTCCTCTTAAACTAAAGGCTTCTGTTTTTCTTTGCTCTTCTCCTTTTTTCTTCTCTTTCCCTTTCTCCTTTTCGTACATTAGACAGTGACTAACGGACCTACGGACCGCCCAGACAAGCAAATGACGAAAAGTATCAACTAATGATAGTGTTTGAGGTTATATCAGCCATTGTACTGCTCCAAATGCGCAGTAGCCGTCTGCGCAGTTTTAGTATGATATAATTTAGAACAATTTCTACAAAATTTAGCACTGAATTTGTTCATACCGAATTATGTATGTACTAAATGCTGTCTGATACTATCCATAATTTTGTACAAAATTTACCACAAAACTTCGTATCGTGACAGACGCCCTTAAGGCTACGACCCCGTATAGGAAACAGGTATTTACTATGTTTTAAGTTTCGTAAAAAATTACGTGAAGCATTGGTTATATATATGTGTATACTAAATTATTGTAATATTGTATACTACATGTTTAGACAATTTCATCAAAAACGTTATTCAAATTATTCAAAACAATTGGATGCGTTTCATCTTTGGCTTACGTAGTACCCTAAACTGGTTAAAAATTAATAACTTGGTCAAGTATCACCATTTAGTTTTTGTTTACAAATTACGGCTCAGATTAAAAGTCTCTTACATGAGGACAAAATTTCATTTAATAATGATGTTCACTGTAGAACTCTCAGAAAAAAATATTAGAATACCCCTGCATATGTGTTCACTTATTAAACTCAGTTTTTCCTACAATGTTGCTATTATTTATAATATTATGTAATGATATATTTTATAATGACTTCATGTATACATGGGTCCGTAACGGCTTTCTTTTCGTGCTATCACTAAAGAAATACGAGTAATGTTCCAAATATTTCTGTGAATAAGGAAACGTATTTATTGAACAGTTGGTATAACCTATGATAAATTTTGCAGGTTTTACAAGTTGCTGAGGCTCAATATGAACGTTGATGAAAATAATATTATCCTGCATTTTTGGAAAAAAATTATTTAGAAGGTCAATAGCTTTGAACAGTAACATTCGAATAGAACGACAACAATAGAAAATATCAAATAGATTTTTTAAAATAAATGTTCAAAATGGCCACATTGGACTTCAATATAGACGTCTAGTCTGTTACACATTGACTGACGAACTCTCCTGAAAATACCCGGGTATATTTTGTATAATCAGACATGACTCGACAATTCTGTCTCTTAAGTCCTCCACGCTTTGAACAGAAGTCTTGTATACTAATGATTTCCAATGTCCGTATAAAAAGAAATCGATAGGATTCATGTCAGGCGATCTAGGCGGCCATGGCTGTGGTCCGCCTCTTCCAATCGATCGATTTGGATAATTATTATCTAAGTATTCTCGCGCAACGACACTGAAGTGTGGCGGAGCACCATCATGGATGTACCACATGCGACGTCGTTCTCTAAAGGCGCGTACACATCTGGCGAACGCATGTGGCCGAAGCTCTTCGATCGAATTCATTCGATGATTTCGACGTTCGATGGAAAATTTGCTCTGCCATCCACATTACGGTGAACGAATTCGTTTGCAGTCATTCGTCGAGGTTCGCGGGTATTTTTGTAAATGGTAAAAAATGGCGTCCGATGATGAGGATATAATTATTGCAAGTGCGTTGTATATTATTATTAGTGAGGCGGAGACCGAAGCATTGAAAGAGCCCCCCAAGAAACGACGAAAACGGCGCTGGCGGACAACATCATTGTTCAAAAGCAGAAGTCGGTATAGAGGGATGGACTTAATTAGTGATCTAAAAGCTGAAATGGAATACGGACTTTTTGTAAATTTTTGTAGAATGAAGTCTACTGATTTTGAATGGTTATTAAATGAAATCGGTCCAAAAATCGCGAAACAAGATACAAAGTTTAGAGAAGCAATACCGTCAACAGAAAGGTTAATGTTAACCCTACGATATTTAGCTACTGGTGACTCATATACAAGTTTAATGTATACTTTTAAAATTTCAAAACAACTCATTTCAAGGATAATACCAGAAGTTTTTGTAATCTTTATGCACTGGATTCCATAAAACTTCCCGTTCTCGATATAAACCAATAAGTTTTAAACAAGAGGAATTAGTCCACTCCATTATCGCTAAATAGAAACTCAAAACAAAATGACCACGATGAGACACTTAAAAACTGAAAAGCGTACACACTAAACACAGCCAAACGAATTCGTTCTTCAATTTTCTTTTGATGTACCGCCCAGTGACCGAACTCTCGCGAAGGCAAACACATGCGTTTGTTAGGTCGTACACATTTACCGACGGCGTTCGGTCGAAAGGCTTCGGCCACATGCGTTCGCCAGATGTGTACGCGACTTAAGGAATTTCCTCCAATAATCCAGGTAGGTCAAATTCCAAAAATCTTCGGTACTCTTCGCCGAGGAAATGAGGGTCAATCAAGTGATCACTAACGATTCTAATCCAAATAGTGAAGGAACAGTCGTGTTGCGTATTATGTTCAATTATGGCATGGGGATTTTCTTCACACCATACATGGTTATTATGGAGATTTATTATTGCTGTTTGCGAAAAACATGCTTCATCCGTAAATAGTATTCGATTTAAAAAAAATTGATTCAGTGTTACTTGTTCACGTAACCAGTTGCCAAAAACTAACTCTTATAGGCAAATCTCGAGGCAAAAGCGCTTGTACACGTTGTATTAAGACATGGATAAAGTTGCTGATCTTTCAAAATTTGCCATAGCGTTACATGATTTAAATTTAGCTGGTGCGCAAATTTTTGTGTACTTGTTGTAGGATCCTTTTCGATTTTATTAAGCACAGCTTCTTCGATTTGGATGGTTCTTACACTTGCGGGTCTTTCTGCAGCAAGTACATTAGGCAGCGGGCGTTGTGGAATCATCATACAAACGTCGTGCGTTACCCAGAGCCGTTCCGTAAACGAAATGCATATGTGTCATTTCTTGATTACTGAAAAACACCAAAAACCAAATATTTGGAGTCTTAGAATGACCAGACAAGAAAACAGCTGTCGAATTATTTGAGAAAATATAATTAATTCAATTGTTTTCGGGTACGTCATAGGTGTCTAGATAAGCACAATGCTTAAATATTAAAAGTACTGCGATCAAAGCAAATCAATGTCTTGCTATTTTTTCAAAAAATACAGGATTTCCGTATCTACGTACGCACGGGTCTGAAAACAACTGTAAATCATATGATATTCACCACAGGGCATACTTAATTAAAATAAGATACGTTCCATTCTTTTATATTTTTTTAGAACAATTTCATCATTTCTTTTAGTGCTCATATGCTCTAGCTTGAAAACAAAGCCGTTGCCGACCCATGTACATATGGAAATTTCGTCTTCAAATTGACGAAGGATTCAATGGTTAAAGTTTGTCTACAAACTTTATTAACACCCTTTTTCCAAATTTTCGTTACCTGTCTTTCGACAAAAAGTTAAACCAATATTACCTACTTAACCCCCAAACATTGACATTCGGTATTGTGACACAGGTTTGCGCTCAAATGTTTTTGCAAAGCCTGCTAGTCTCTGCTTATCTCTTACGCCGCGTACAGACCGAAAATCTAGCGCAGAGCAAACGAATCCAAGCACATGTGACGTTCGCGATTGTTGTTGGAAGGAATTCGAATGCGCTCGTCGACACGTCATCTACATCTAAATTTAGTTTCGAGTTGGACCGCGTTGGGTTACGTTCGGTGCTACAGGCAAACGACTAAATACTAAAGGCGCAACAAATCCTGTCCAGACTCCAGACCAAATCAAACCTCCTTTTGATGTACCGATCAAGGAGCGAACACAATCGAACGCCAACGCCGACGTTGGAAACCGTTGGCTTATGTTGGCTCGCGCCGTACACACCGATTCGAACACCTCCAAATCTGTAACCACATGTGCCTTGGTTTGCGTTGGAATCTCGGTCTGTAAGCGGCGTAATAATTAACTTTCTTGACCTGTCCGAACATTTAGTTATCATATTTCGAGATATTTCAGTGATTCTGTTTGTTTTAACGTGATACATTTGAGAACAGAGGTGCGGCTATTGAAAATAGATATTTATCATTCTTATCTAGCATTATACATTTTTGCCATACATTTTGATGAAGCAGAAGTAAATTTATTGATCAATTTGTGCAAAATGTAAAGGTGTCCGAATATTTAATTGTTGGGGCTCATATATCACACCGATTTCATGTTTGCTTTGAGTTATTCTAGAATATATCTAGAAAGTTTTCCGTGCAGTATTGCAAAAGATCGATGATCTTTTTTATCATTACCAACTTCTTATCTGATAAGTACTTACAACTTCAAACATTCAATATTTGTGTATAATGCATATTTCCATTTCCAAGGAATAAAGACATCGTAAATTATAACAATGTAAATAATATGTAACAATTATATTATTGCCAATGTGTTTCAATTTGTTTGTATCACTTTTCTACAGGGTGGACCCTTAGGAGAGCAAGACACCTGGACAGTAACAAGCAATTCGTTTCTTTTGCCTTTTATCTGAATTAGTGCGAAATTTGTCTAGAAATTTTTGATTGCTGCTTGATTGTGCTTCTGCCATGTTAAACGTTCAATATTTACTCTGATCCGGCAATATTTATCATGAAATAATAATAGATACGATCTTTTGAGTAAGAAAAACTTTTTAATAAAAAACCAAAAAAGTCACAATCTATTTTGATAATTAATTAGCAACATTCATTGCCATTTTCGTACATACTTAATCATATCAATATTCATATTCAAAGGTGTTGATTTTGAAAAACAGAAAAGTGAAAAAAGTCAAGTTCGGCCATGAATTTTTTAATTGTGCGTTTAGTTTTACGTTACTTCGGTAGCTTAGTTATCGTGCAAAAAATCAATAAAACCGGTTCAGTGATGTAGGTATGTAATATTAATGATTTGACGTGTTTAGATAAATCGTAAAAACTGAATTTAGAACTTTTTTTACAGATACGAAACTACCTATCACTTAACTATCTCCATCGAAGTACTATCATAGCTTTATTTCCCGTTATCTGTTTTACAGTGTTGTTTCAATGGTCGCTCGTCCGGCACGCCACGTCAAGTGATTTTCTCCCCCTGGGTTCCTCTCCCTCTTTTTCAAACGCATCCTCTAATGTCGCTTGCATTGAAACATGTCAAAACTTGCATATTAGGCGCGCGTTAGCTAACGTATTGCAGCGCTCGTTTGTTCTATTAGTAAACGCACTATTTTCAATAAGTCAACATGTCGAAGGAATTACGCACTTCTTAAAAGGGAATATCTTTAATAGGGATCGTAAAGCATCAAATAACCGGTTCATAAATTCCCTCTAACGGACAAGTACTAGCAGTTTTGTTCTATAATATCAGTGAAGTGAAATTAAGTTTGGAGAGATTTACAAAACTATGCAAGCGAAACACAAGAAGTGTTTGAGCAACGTCGACAAGAGTTTGTTGCGAACTTGGACAACCTGTTTGATATTGCGCATGCCGATGCCCTTCAATTGATGAAAATACATGAAGATAGGGTCTTCTTGCAGCGGCAGAGAGAGCGACACCTGACCATTTAGCTGCGGTGGAGAAGAAATAAGCCATAAAAGAAGAAAAGGCGCGTCTTAGGAACACCAAAGAGTAAAAGCGGCGAGCTAAATATGTATGTTGCTTCCTCAACTCCTTCGACATCATCTTACGCACGAACCAACTAATCAAACTCAAATGAGGAAAACTTTCATAGCTCCAAAATAGTGGCAGCATTAGATAGGTGTCAGTCAAGTATGAGAATTCCTGTTTTTATTACTGAAGCAGACATTGAGGCACTTGGTCATTACACTAGCAAGCCTATTCAAAGAATTCTTACTGAAAAGCGGAAGGAGCGCGCAGAAGCTATGAAGCTTGATTTCCAAACCGAGGTACCAGATACTGTAACTGTCCAATGGGGTGGCAAATTATTGTCATCTTTAAATGCACGCAACACTAAAGAGGAACGTCTACCGATTAATATAACGTATGAAAATAAAGAGCAACTTATCCGTGGACCCAAACTGGACAGCGAGCAGGCTCAGGTACTTTGGGGTGCTACTATTGACTGGAATCTTGAAGATACAGAAATACGGGTCGCATTAACGGTGCCTGTGTGCTTCACGAACAGAAACTTAATAAATGCTTATTTTTGCTTGCCGCCATCACGTCTACGAATTGGTGATAAAAGGCGTGTTTGAATCAAAGATCAACCAAGTAACTACAAGCCCAGTTATTCCAACGTTTAAAGAGTTTCGTGAGACCACGAAAAGTGTGGATCCTGCAAAAACACAAATTTTTACTGGAGTGCTATCATGCCTGAATATTTCAGAGACTGACAAGCTGCTGAATTTTATCGACATGAATTGACCAAAGAAATTGTTAGAGACGACTATCAGGCAGTGGCGGATTTAGAGGGGGGTGCGGGGAGCACGCGCCCTTCCCCTAGACGTCTGACACTTGCTTTTGTAATCTAACACTATTGTGTTACTTTCTGGCACATCATGGCGACAGAGGCATACTAACTTTATAGCTATAGGAGCTGAGAATTGCGATCATTTGGTATCCTTTAGTATTCCAAACGCTCTTTGACATCACTTACGTTTACAGCACAATTCTTACGATTTATACATATATACTAGTATTGTGACTTGTGACAAATCTTAGTCTGAGTAATATATTAGCTATAATACAGATTGCACTTCAAATGTGATTTATGTTCTGTTTGTTGCTCAATAGTAATTTGAAAACTGTGTAAAGCTTGACTGATTTTGTTCGGCGTTGGTGTTGTTAGATGAACGCCTAAATTGGAAATAGACATTTATGATATTTACTTAGCAGTGCGCCTGTGGCCTATCCTGAAACTGTGTCGATCGATGCTCAAAGTCAATACCACACGTCCCGCACGACCCCGTTGCGCAATTTGTCCATAGGCAGTCTGGAGACGGTCTCAAGACACGATCTATAGATGGTCTATAGACATCCTTGTTGGACTCGTACCTATTTTGTTCTCATATAATAAAATATTTCTGGGGATTTGCCATGTTTATATTGCAAATAGCGTTTGCGACCCCCTCCCCTCCTAGTCGAAATCCTGAATCCGACCTTGCTGCCAGGAATTAATAGAACTTTCAATAATACCATAAAAAATAAGATTCAACCGCTAGGCGCCATCAATCAAGCTCGATGGATGGCCAGAGCAATCCATTCATTAAAAATAGCATCATTAAGTTCCCAGCTCAAACTTTCTAATGAAGATAAGGCAGATATGTTAGATATCTGCCTCGTGTCAATATAAGTGAAACCATGGT